CCCTGCCACTGTCAGCATGGTACATTACAAATGATGTAATGGCATCACTGCAATAACTTACTTGTTTTTAAGTGATAGGCAGTGAGTCTGTGTGTTGTTGTGCAACAGCAAATGAGACAAAAACAAAGTGAGTACTAATATGATTTAGAGGAGGACGGCAGGAAGCAGACAGCACTAATGCAAAGGCTCCTGCATTAGGTCTTTAGCCACTAACCACAGAGCACTGTAAACACGCACACACACCAAATGAGAATAAATGCATAATCATATAAGAACCTATGTGCAGAAACATCCCTTTCCTCTGTGAATACTCGCTGTCACATTAAAAGATGTCCTCTGTCCTCCTGCTGAAACACTGGTACCAGAAATATCCTCTCTGCTGTCTAACTTGTGACAGAACACTGCTGCCCGTCAACTCGCATCAGAGTTGAAAAAGAGGAGGAAGCGAGAGATTTGGAGAGACGCTTTATTCCTCACTTTCCTTGGGCATTTGTGTTTGTTTGCTTCGTTGCCACCTCCTCAACGGGAGGACTACTGCCCTGAATCCTTCAGTCAGCAAAGCCCGGGGTGTAACCAGCGACCGCACCCGCATGACATTAAAGACTCAGCATTGCCATCACAATGGAGGAACTGATTATGAAAAACACCCTGCCGCAGCCGAACGGATGAAAACGGCAGAGTATAGACAGGAGAGCGTATCAGAGAATATGCATGTGTGAGCATGTGCGAGCTTTGCTCTGACACTGTTTCCTGCAGCACTTTTAACTTCTCTTGAAGGCTTGTGTGCTCGTTTGGTTTGTGTGTCTTCCATTTCAGGCTTTGTCGACTTCTCTGTAGGGTTTATTGTTCCTCAGACAGCTGATGAGCACACAAAGAGGAACCATCAACCACACAAACTTGCCCACACACTCATACACAAGAGAATGCCAAACTTAAATTACAATAGTTAAGGCCGCATTAATGAGCATCCATGTGTCACTGAGTCACGTTAAGTTCTCTTCTGCTGAGTCGTGCTCGGCCAAAATCAAGACCACACAGCATCTTCAATCTTCTAACCTACATTTATATTCTCTATCCCATCTGAAAAGTAAAACTCCCCCAAATCTCTAACCAAACAGATGCCCCGAGGGCTTTAATCTTTAATTCATTTTAGTCTTTATAGCTGGTCTTTTCTGGGGTGATAGATCTGCGATTAGTGGAACGGGCTTGAATCTTCTCATTATCTTTATGCGAGGTTTAATCCGGATGCTTGCTTCTCGTCTTAGGCTGGGTTCTCTGTGGCTGTGCCCACCCCATGCTGGGAAGGACCACTGCTTTAGGGGGCTTACCCTCTCACACACACCTCATTATGGGTGCTGGATGGGACCGGGAGGTGTCATTAGTGGCAGACATCTGAGGTTCAGTGCGTTGATTACTCTGCCGCTCAGATCGATATATTTCACTGAAAGTAATGTTTATAATTCTCAACTCGCAGGTCAAACTTTCATTTTAATGCTATTAACAAGATATCATATAATACAAGCTGCATTTGGGGGGAATTAACTCTACAAGTCCAGAGCTGCTGTCCGTGGACACGCAAGTCAAGTAATTCTCTAAATCCAATTAGTGTAAAGCTCTTCATCACTCAGTGGTTAAACATGTATGTCCGATTACAGAAAAACAGATGATGCGAACAGTAATCCTAAATCACCTCACAAGATAAACATAAAAGCCAAACCTTGAAATATCCGGATTGTTTTTTCCTCTTTCTTTTGGCGTGTGGGAGGGGCCTAGCCCTGTCAAGCACACAGCTGATGGTCTTGGGTTACACATCCTCATTATAGTTCAATGGCATCTTCATTATCTTTATCTGTTACTGTAGGCTCATCTCAAAAGGACAGCGTCTCAGTGCATGTGGTCTGATGTCATGTAAAGTGACATGCACAAGACACAAGCACATATTTTACTGCCAGAAGCTCAAAGCTAGCACACAGCATAAAGACAAGGCCTTGACCACATTAAGGTTCATTTATCAATTCGTAATATAGTACACTACAGGGATCCATCAGGCTCGTGTCTTCAGGACGTGGAAAAGCAGAAGGTGAGACTGTATATAGGAAGAAGAGTGGATATCTGGGAAAGATCCACTGAACATCCATAATCTATCTTCCATGACAGAGCAAACGGAGCAGAAACCAATTAGCCAAGCATCCCATCGGAAATGGAGAAGCAGATACGATAAAGGATGAGCCCACAGCTGCAAGCTACAGGGCAAGTTACAATTAACCTCTCCCTAACACACATACAAACACAACACACAGACACACACAGACATTTCCATGAGTATGCACACAAAGCTACCCTACATACTTGCCCATTTCAGTAATAAACCTCTGGCAGGTAAGACGAGACTGTAATGACCCAAAGCTACGCTGCATTCAGTCATTTCAATCTCAGACAGAAATATAGGTCATCGCCTATTACTATTATTTTCCTTCAGGGTGTCTCTTTCTTTCATTTGTCTCACTCCATGAATCAAATTATACCCTTTCCATTTTTGTGTCGCTAATCTCCATCATTAGCAGGTTTTCCTGCCATCTTCCTTTTCTCTTTTTATCTCCCTCCTCCCTACCTGGCTGCCTCAGTGTAGGTGTGGCCAGCAACATCACAACAAGGAACAAGGTCACACACAGATGATACAAACAACACACACACCATGTACAGTAGATACACACACAGGGCTGCTGGGGCAAGGTCAAACATGCTGCGATTGGGGCTGCAGTATGCAGGCTTGTGTAGAGTGAAAGAGAGTGGAGCACAGATAAAGGTTTGATGATGAGCAGAAAATGACTTCCTTGCATCGAGCGAGATATTACGACCTACTGCACTCCTCCCTCATCTCACCCGTTCTCTGATGCTATCTGGTACTCCTAGAGGGATGGAAAGAGAAGGAGCAACAGAGAAATACTCTCGTGTTTGTGTGTGTGAATGAATAATGGATGAAAGGTGCAGATTCAAACTCTGTTTTGACCTATTAATCACAAACTCGGTCACCATCGTCACAGCACACCCACAGCAGCAAGAACTTGGAATATGCAATGTGTCCCAGCGCTCCCATGGACCGCGCGGATGCTCGAACGCTACCTGCCCATGCCGCCACCCACTCACTTTCCCCTTACTCCTCATGCACGTTGCCCCCGGTAACAGGGGGATGGGGTGGGGGTGGATAGTGACCATCTGTCAGTGGCCCGGAGATCAATGAAACTAGAGGGGGTGAGGGAGCGAAGGAGTGGTGCGAGGCTAAATAGGTGGCCCACTGTGACCGGAGCCTGGCTCAATATGCGGCCGTTTTATTTACAGACTGAAAGTCAACACTCCCCACCAGCCCCACTCGCACGGCCTTTATTAACGACTGACCGGTTTTGGCAGGCCGGCAGAAAGATGCCGTTTACATACAGTGATGCAGTAGCCGATACATACGCTTGGTGTTAAAATGTGCTGCTAATTTTAGAATACGCTCCCGTGCTATCGAGGTTGCTGCAATAGAGATGTAAACATACACAGATCAGGGAATAATGGTACATTAATGTAAATCTAGCACACTGTGGCAGTGGGTCAAATGAGAGGAGGAAACACTGCAGCGTATGTTGACTAATTTATCAACAACACAACAATGTCAGCCCTGGGAACGCTTACTCCAGCTTCTTTGTAGGAGCACACACTGCTTGTACACATACACACACACACACGTACAGACACAAATGCATACGGCACAAAATTGATTTGGCACATTCGAACCAAGCATGTGTAACTGTTTACAGTGTTGTCAACAGGGGGAAATTCACCACTTTCAGACCAAGGGCTGTCAATAAAGCACCACAGACACACAAATACACACACACAGTATAATGTGCTGCAATAGAGACTGAGCTCATTTAAAATGCACTGTTGATGCTGGAGCTAGAGCAAGAGCTGGAGGAAAAGGTTTGGGTGTGGAAAGGAGAGAAGAGCAGAGACATTTAGTGTGTAGAGTCACAATGCTTCACTGTTTGTTTCTGTATTTCAGTTTCCACTAAAACAGTAATTAACCTCACATCTTTGCAGCCAATTGTAAGTGAGAACAAATAACCCAAAGTAACCAAAAAACTGGGACAGAAATCACAGACTCACCCAGCATTTGGCTGAACAGCAGTTGTTCCAGGTCTCCCAAGACTGTAACCACTAACTCTGGATCCACCTTTAAAAAGCTCTTATCGTCCTCACCCTCCATCCCCTTCCTCTCTTTCCTTTCCTCCGCTGACAGAGCCGCAGGTTTGGATTTCTCCCCTAGTTTCTTGCCGTTAGTTCCAGTAGTCCCAGCTCCGTTGGAGTTTGCTTTGGTTGGGTGATCAGCTGGGTCTGTATCTGCATTCTGGACTGTCTCAGAGGCCTTGCTAATTGGCTTGACCTCAGCATAAGGTCCCCGTGGTTTGCCAGGTGCAGGGATTCGACTTGGCTTGCCTATATTAGAAGTCACAGAAGGGGAGCAGAAAGACTTTGGCTTCCCCTGAAAGAGAGACTGTTCTGACTTTGAAAGTGTCCGGGATAGTGGTGGTCTCCCACCGCCAGCTTGACCTGCCTTACTCTGCCCCGCTTTGTTGGTCACAGTGCCAGGACGGCTTGTGTCATCATTCCACCTGGTAGACTGGTACAGGTGCAGCTTCTTCTCAGCATCAGTGAGCACAGACAAGTTGCTGAGTGAACGCTGTTTGCGAAGCCCGGACTGACTGGGGATAGGAATGGGGATAGATCCGGAGGTGGGCCGGTAGACCTTGAGCTCTGACCCAGAGGGACGCACGGGCCCCTGGGGCAAAGCAGAGGGCTTGGCGGGTGGTTTCCTTGATGCCATGGCCTGAGATGAAGTATCCTGGCAGGGGACAGCAGCAGACCTGAGGTCCAGCTCTCTGGGCTTAGCCGTCATGCTAATGTTAGCCACATTAGCCTCCAGCATCCCTCCTGCAGAGACCCAAGCAACAGCATCAATGATACACTCTGACACAGACACAAGCGAAAAACACTGAAAGACATGGAGGAAGGAAGGGGAAGCCAAAAAAAAAGACAAAGACTGTCTGGTCTGCACTCCCTCTTCACTCCAGGGTCAAGACAGCCAGACTCCCCGTAGTGAGAGACTGTGGCTTCACCCCTCTATTGCAAATGATGAGTGGGTTAGTAGAGTGACAGCCTTACTCACTGCTGGTAATCCATGGATCTGCAGATCTGCGTCCAGCGCCTAAATCCACTCGCTCACAGCATGTCTGCAGCTCCCGGAGCCGCACAGATGACAATAGTGCTGCCAGAATAAAGCACAGCACTGACCAGCGTCTCTCTCCGTGTCCCCCTCTGCTCCTCTCTCCCTTGCTCTGCGCTCCCTCCTGTTCGCCAGGCACGCAGCAGCCGACTGACAAGAGAAACGGTCGCAGCGGCGACGTCCCCCACCTACTTTTTTCTCTCCTCCCTCTAACTCGCCTTCACTCTCTGCCTTGCTCACTCTACCCCCGCTGCCTCATTCACCCTCCCTCTCCTTCTTCCTCCCCTTTCCATCCTTCTTTCCTTCTTCTTGTCTCTCTCTCTCCTCCCACTCGCTGATTCACTGCCTCTCTCTCTCTCTCAAGCACACGCCGCATACGCTGTGTTATGCTGCACACCAGTGAGTGCAAACACAAGGGCTTGACGACAAATTACCAGCATTCCCCATAAACTCAGCTTTTTGCTGTTCCTGTTTTGTAATAAAAGATTTATTTTCATGAGGGAGGGATGCTCTGAAAAAGAACGCTGAATTCTACTGTCCCCATCAGTTTATATTTAGGCCCAGTTATTTAATAACTTCAATGTTTTTGAAGTTATTAAATAATTTTGAATCAAAATATGCCCCACCACCCCAAAGAAACACACACACTGTTCCAACCCCTCAGCAATTATTCATAATCACATTAACTGCTCTATTCATCCATTCATATTTAGATTTCCTCACGTGCCCTGATCACCAGAGACCCACTCATGATTAAGCTGATTTAAATTATCTGGGAAAAAAGCCATGACTGCAGGATCAGCCAAGGAGAAGAGGATATGCATTTGTCAGTGCTTAATACACAACAACAGGCCACTAAACGGGCTTCAATTAGTAGCTAAAAGACCCCAAATGGTCATCATATAGCTAAACGCCCCCTCCCCACC